TCTAGATGATGGATGACGATGGATGCTTGTACTTGTGCCCTGTCTGTAGCTCGGCGGGCGCCTTGCAATCCTTAGCGATGCGGCCCTTGCCACCGGCCCTTGCAATCCTTAGCGATGCAATCCTTAGCGATCTAATCCTCAGGCACACGGTGTTCGAGTCGGTCCTCCAGCCCTTGTTGCTAGAGCTCTGGCTCGGCGAGCCTTGTGACATTGGAGATGAGCGGCCAGCACCTTTCGCACTCTTCGGCGTAGGCGAACCCTTGGCACTCGAACCGAAGAACTTCCGGCTCGTCTTCTTCTGGCGCAATAGCTCTCGTGCTTGCTCGAAGGAGCGCTGCCCGTGTTGGGCGCAGCACACACAGCACCTTTCAGGAGCTCGTCACGCAGCTCCTTGTCGTCTGCGGCCTGGTCGTAGATGTCCTGCAGCTGGTAGTTCACATCTTCGTCCTCTGCCAGCGCGTATTCGGTGGCGTCGCCGTTCTATAGGTCCAGCTGTTGGCCAACTTCAAACTGCGTGAAGTAGTCGCGCATAGCAGTCCTGCTCTTGCGGAACGTCTCTTTCATGACCGCGCGCATGTACTTCCCGGCGTCCCCTACCTTGAGGATGCCGCTCTTCTGTTTGAGATACTTCAGCAACTGGCTGACACCCTTCGGCAGCTTCGTCGCGGGGTCCTCCTCGATGCCATCGCGGCTCTCCAATCTGTCTTACTTCTGTACTCCCTGCCAGGTACATCAGCCTGGGCCCGCAGAGGCCCTTCTCGTCCTTCCTGGTCCCGCGCACATATAGCTTGACCCTCATCACGTAGGAGTCGAAACCAGCCACATCTCCGTCCCAGGATGGCACCGCCTCGCGCTTCGGATCTTCGGTCGTCATGACGAGCTGGTCCGCGGAGCCAGACCGGCTCCGCTACCAAGTAAATCGTCGGCGCTAGTGCAAGCCTCGTCGATGTTCTCGTGACAGCCGTCGGCAAACGTCACAATGATTGTCTTGATAATCTGTCTCTCCAGCACAGCGCCAACAGCCTCGGTTATCCTCCTCAGGATGGTGGACCCCTCGTGGGCTCCTGGCACAAGTGCTCTGGAAGCACCGTTACACTATCAAGTGTGCACCAGTGGCTCGCCACCGGCTCAAGAGCGCCCGGGTCCGAAAGTGCAGCGGTGAAACCTCGCTCGACTCGGTACGTGGGCACACGTATCGGTCGGCCAACACGCGTATACATGTACACCCCCCTCCAGAAAACCAGGGGGGTCACTACCGGTTCGAGCCCCCTCCCCCCCCCTCCCAAAAAAAGGGGGGGTCACTACCGGTTCGAGCCCCCTCCCCCCCCTCCAGAAAACCGGGGGGGGTCACTACCGGAACGAACCCGCCCCCCCTCCAGAAAACCAAGGGGGTCACTACTGGTTCTCGCAGTGTCCCCACTGTCCCCAGCACTGTTCCCACCACGGTCCCGCTCTCCCACTTTCCCCACGGTCCCCACCACTGTCCCACTGTCCCACTGTCCCCGCCCCTGTCCCGCTGGGCTGTCCCACTGTTCCCACCACTGTCCCCACCGCTGTCCCCACTGTACCTCTGTCCCATTGTCTAACCACCGTCCTCGGCACCGCCCTCACCGCTGTCCCCACCACTACTGTCCCCACCACTGCCCTACTGTCCCCACTCTGTCCCCACTGTTCCCACCATTGTCCCCGCTGTCCCCAACAGTGCCCCCACCAGTATCTCACTGTCCCCACTCTCCCCACGATTGTCCCACCACTGTCCCACTCTCCCCATTGTCCCCTCTGTCCCCACCACTGTCCCACTGTCCCCACTGTTCCCACCACTGTCCTACTGTCCCCACTGTCCCCGCCGCTGTCCCACTGTGCTGTCCCACTGTCCCCACTGTCCCCACCCTTGTCCCCTTGTCCCCCCCCACTGTCCAAGAGGCCAAAATCATTGATTTTCCGTGGGTGTTCGAAAGATTTTGGCATTTGCGTCTTGTCGGCCTTCCGACGGCCCAAGACGGCCCAAGAGGTCTCCAAGGTCGCCCCAAGATCGCCCAAGAGGCCTCCAAGATGGCCGCATGACGGCCCAAGAGGCCCCCTAAGACGGCGACCTCCAAGACGTCCAAGGTACTCTCCAAGACGGCCCTGAAGCGCCCCACGAGAGCCCCAAGTCGGTTCAGAGAGGCCCCCTAAGACGGCTTCCGACGGTGTCAGACGGGCCGGGAACGCCCTAAGACGGCCAAAGAGGCCTCCAAGAAGCCCCCACAGGCCCCCAAGAAGCTCCCAAGAGGCCCAGGGAGGCTCCCAAGAGGCCTCCAAAAGGCCCCCAGGAAGCTCCGCAGAGGCCTCCCAAGAGGCCTCGCAAGACAGTTCCCAAGAAGTCTCTTCCTCCTCCTCCTCCTCCTCCTCCTCCTCCTCCTCCTCCTCCTCCTCCTCCTCCTCCTCCTCCTCCTCCTCCTCCTCCTCCTCCTTCCCCATCATCCTCATCCTCATCCTCATCCTCATCCTCCTCCTCATCATCATCATCATCCTCCCTCTCCTGATCCTCCTCCTCTTGCTCCCCCACGCGTTCCCCGAAGGCTTTCCAAACCGACTCGGGGAACAACTGGCCCGATAGCTTGGTCAAGCTCTAGCCCAGCTGTCGGCCACATAGGCGCTTCCAAAAGGGCAGGGGGCGGCGGTGATTCGCTGTAGGCGTATTCGATGTATTGATATATGTCTGTATTAATTCGAGTATGTAATACATGACTTATATATGTACTTACTTGTATTGGTTTGTTGGGGCGATCGCGGCCCTGCTCGCACCGACGAGGCGAAGAAAGTCCAGCACAGCGAACGGGACACCGCGCGCGCACTGGCCTCAGAAAGAGGCCTGGCCATGTCCCATCCGCGCATGGATGACAGGGAGAGAGTGCGGACGAGAGAGAGAAGCCGACCCGACGACTGGGGGAAGGAACCCGCACGGCCACAAGCGAACACAAGGACAGCGCTGATGGAGATGGCAGGCGCGCGCTCAGAGAGCGACCGGGTTCCTGCCGCGGACGAAGCGTGAGAGAGGTGAGCGGAAAGTGGCGGAAGGGGCGGCACGGAGGGGGCACAGGAGGCTCAGTGCCTTGGCTTGCGCCCCCCGTGAAGTCCGGAGAGGTTACCACTTCGGAGAAGAGCTAGCGTCTCCGCTCCCCGCCTGCGGGGCAGGGACATCCCTGGGCGGCATCACGGATTACGAAAGGGACGAGCGAGCGGATGAACAGGCTGAGAAGGTGTGAGGGTCGAAGGCGGCATCGCCGTCGCCCGCGTCGGAGGCTTGCATGGCGACCCACTCCTGCCAGTGAGCGGACGTGCAGTCGGCGACGGGATTGCTGGGGCCAAGTAGGGCCGCGACTCGGCTGGCGAGAGCGTGCTGCGCAGCAGCCGACGACGCTGGCGCCGCCGTCCCCGCCGCGGCCCATACAGTCAACCATGATAGTAAGGATGGGCAACCTTCCCCGGGGTACCCCTTGCACTCGTGCCTCCTCGGTCCGTCCCTCGGCCGCTTTCGCGGGCCGCGCCCCGCTCGAGAAGCTTCGCCATGGGCGTCCAGGGCCCCTGCGTCCCTGGTCGCGCCTCCTGGCTGCACTGGTTGACCGCAGCCCGGAGGAGGAGGAGGAGGAGGAGGAGGAAGAGGAGGAGGAGAAGGAGGACAAGGAGGAGGAGGAGGAGGAGGAGGAGGAGGGAAGGAGGAGGAAGCGGAGGAGGCGAAAGGAGGCGGAGAGAGAAGGAGGGGAGGAGGCGGAGTGAGAGGAAGGTAGGGAGGGAGGAGGGGAGGAGGACTTGGTGGGGGACTTCGCGAGGGGGCACCGTTGGCAGACGGTTTCGTCCTCGCAGGGGGGACTCTCGCACACCGGCGACGGCCGAGGCCCCCGGGCGAGCGCAGGCGGCGCCCGCGGCCCAGCCCCCCCCCCCGCTGCGCGGGGTGCCCGCGAGAGGGTCGCCGCTGCGTGGCCGGTGCGCGCGCGGCCCCGCGGGCCCCTCTCCTCCTCCGTCCTCCTCCTCCTCCTCCTCACTCCTCTCCTCCTTCCTCCTCCTCCTCTCCCTCCTCCTCCTCCTCCCTCCTCCTCCTCCTCCTCCTCCTCCCTCATCCTCTTGCTCCTCCCTCCTTCCTTCTCCTCCCGCCCTCCTCTTGCTCCGCTCCTCCTCCTCCTCTCCTCCTCCTCCTCCTCTCCTCCTACTCCTCCTCCTCCTCCTCTCCTCCTCCTCCTCATCCTCCTCCTCCTCCTCTTGCTCCTCACTCCTTCTTCCCTCCTCGCCCTCCCTCTTGCTCTCCTCCTCCTCCTCCTCCTCCCCTCCTCCTCCTCTCCTCCTCCTCTCCTCCTACCTCCTCTCCTCCTCCTCCTCCTCCTCCTCCTCCTCCTCCTCCTCCTCCTCCTCCTCCTCCTCCTCCTCCTCCTTCTCGAGAGAGAGAGAGGGGGGGATGCCCCAGACGGCTCTGGCCAGAGCGAAGGACCCACACTTTTTGACTCGCGGGTCGAGAGCGCACCTCTTCCGGTCGAAGCGAAGCGGGCCGCGCGAAGCTTGCATTAACAAAGAGGGGGGAGCAGGAGGAGAGAAGGACACACACACACACTGTGCTGAGGCAGTTCTCGGGAGCGCCCACAGCAACAAGCGGAGCGAGGCCCCCCTGCCGCGGTCGGGGATGAGACCTTTCGCTGGAGCCCCGAGGGCACGCACCAGGAACGCCGAGGCCCATTGCGGCCCAGGCATGCCCTGGGACGCCCAGACCGTAGGAGAGGTGGGGCCGGCGGCGGCGGCAGCGGCGGTGGCGGTGGCGGCAGACGACGACGACGACGACGACGACGACGACGACGACGACGACGACGACGACGGCGACGACGGCGACGACGGCGACGGCGACGACGGCGGCGGCGGCGGCGGCGGCAGACGACGACGACGACGACGACGACGACGACGACGACGACGACGACGGCGACGGCGACGACGACGACGGCGGCGCGCAGCGAAAGGCAGCTCGGCGACCCATCCTTGGTGTTGGGCCGATCCTTCGAGGCGCCCTTCTTCTGCTCCTGCTGCGCGGCCGCCTCCTCCGGCGCGGCCTCCGGCTCGACCACCTGCAGCTCCAGCCGGAACATCGTCTGCTTGAAAAGGGGGTCGACCACGCGCTCGCCCCCCTCCGCCTCTCGCGCGGGCAAGGGAGGGGTGCCTGCGCCACTCGAGCACCGCTCGCCACCGGAGGGTAAGAAGGAGGAGGAGGAATAAGAGAAATGGAAGGAGGAGGAGGACAAGGAGGATCAGGAGGATGAGGAAGATCAAGAGGATGAGGAGGAGGAGGAAGAGGAATTGGAGGAGGAGGAATCAGAGGAGGAGGAGGAGAAATCGGAGGACGAGGAGGACTGGGAGGAATGGGAGGAGGAGAAGGTGGAGGAAAATAAGGAGAAATCGGAGGAAGACGAGAGGATCGAGGGGGGGCGCCGCTCGAGCCCAATTCGCTGCTGGTCTCGTCGAGCTGAGGGGAGCGCCATTCTTTCTCTCGACGAGGGCCGGAATTGAAGGTGCACTTGTGCGCTTCCTTGGAGCACGCGGCTCGGGCACACCCGTGAGACTGAGGACCCCGTCTGGCGACTGACTAACCTCCTCATCAGGACTCTATCTCCCCATTGGTGTCCATGCCCCCTCCACTCCCCCGCCCCCCTCTACTCCCCTGCTCCTCCACCTCCTTCTTGGCCTGCCCGAGAATGGTCTGTAGGCGATGTGCTCACAAGTGGTGGTAAAACGCCCCGGCCGTCTGATCATCACGAAACTGCCACCAAGAGATAACACACTTCGGTGGCTCCGCGCTTTGGTAGGATGTCGGCCTTGGGCACCACCCTTTGGTAGACGAGGAGGAGGAGGAGGAGGAGGAGGAGGAGGAGGAAGAGGATGAGGAGGACGAGTGCAAAACCAAGACGCATCAATGATGCTGCACGAAACCCTCCCTCCAAATCCCACCAGCCCTCTGGGCGTAGGTCTAGGGAGTTACCTTTTCCAACCCCATTCTTCCCCTTCGGGGAGGGATTCACCCCTCCCCCTTACCCCCTCGCCTGGACTTGGACGGGGTGGTCGCGGGTAGTTGGAGCGTCCAAAGTGGCCAAAGATGGCTCCAAGAGGGCCTCAGAGAGTGCAAGATGGCCTCCAAGATGGCTCTGGGTAGCGCAAGATCGCTCAATATGTTTTCCCAGGTGCTCCAAGAGGCCCCAAGACCGCCCCAAGACGGCTCCAAGTGGCCAACGAGCTCCCCAATGAGGCCCACGAGGGACCAAAATCCGTACAAAAAACCGATGGATCATCAATGTTCTTGGCTTTCTCGCCTTTTTGCTTCCGATTGCCATCCGAGGCCTCAAGATGGCTCAAAGATGGCTCAAAGAGGGCACCAAGAGGGGCCCATGAGAGCCCCAAGACGGCCCCAAGAGCGCCCAAGAGCGTTCCAAGAGCGCCCAAGAGCGCTCCAAGAGCGCCCCAAGAGCGCGCCAAGAGCGCACTCAAGAAGGGCAAGGCTGACTGAAGCTCTTTTTGTATCGATGTCTTCCTAGACGGCTCTAAGAGCGCCCCTAAAGCTCCCGAGAGCGCCCCAAGACGGCCCCAAGAGGCGCCCAAAAGGCCTCCAAGAGGCTCCCAACAGACCCCCAAGAGGCCTCAAGAGGATCCCCGAAGCACCCAAGACGCTCAAAGACGGCCCTCGGCCCGCCGAGATCCCCCCCGAGATGCCCCCCAGCAGCCTGGCAGGTCGCGACCAGTAGTACGCGACCTGCCTGGAGCTGGTACGCGACCTGCGGTACGCGACCTGCTTGGTGATGGTACGCGACCTGTGGTGCGCGACCTTGCCGGGCTTCACTTTGGCCGTCCAGGTCGAAGAAGGAAGTGGGAGGAGGAAGCAGGACGAGGCGCCCAAGAGGACCCAACGAGCCCCCAAGAAGCCCCAATTAATTCCCGAAGACACTTCCAAAAGGCCCTGAAAAAAAAGGCCAAATAAACTTCCAGTTTGCATCAAAAACGCCCCAGGAGTTTCTCGGAACCGCAACAACGCTCCCAGTACGATCCAAGGAGCATACAAGCGCTGAAAAGATCTTCCGGGAGATGCCGAAGAGGCAGCCAAGAAGCCTCTAATATTTCTGCTCGCCCTCCTCATATTCTCCCTCTTCCGTCTCATCCTGCTTATGATGTATGATGCTCTTTGTGTCTTGGCAAAGAGGACCCCGTGACGTCCAAACGGCAGCGGGTAGCGCACGTACGTGTCATGCACACTATATATATATATATATATATATATATATGTGAGAGAGAGAGAGAGAGCGTGATCCACCGCCGCTTTACTGTGGAAAATTGCCAACCTTTTCCTCCGGAACCCGGGGGTCTCCCCCCCCCCTCCGAAAATCCCCCCCCCCCCCCCCCTGCCCCACCCCCCCCCCGCCCCCCTCCCACCCCCCCCCCCCCCCCCCCCCCCCCCCCCTCCCTCCCGGCACAACCCCCCCCCCCTCCCCTAACCCCCCCCCCCCCCCCCCCCCCCTCCCCTCGAAAACCGGGGGGGGTCACTACCGGTTCGAACCCCTCCCCCCCCCCCCCCCCTCCGGATCCGGAAAACCGGGGGGGGTCAATACCGGTTGGACACCCCCCCCCCCCTCGAAAACCGGAGGGGGGTCACTACCGGTTCGACCCCCCCCACCCCACGCACCGCCAGCAAACGACTCCCGGTCCCTACCACCGCTCGCATCACATCCCCCACTGTTGTTCCCAGCACCACTGTCCTCACCACCACTGCCCCCACTGGTTCCACCACCGTCCCTATTGTCCCCACCAATGCCCCCACCACTGTCGCACTGTCCCCACTGTTCCCACAACTGTTCCCACCACGGTTCCACTCTCCCCACTGTCTCCACGGACCCAACCACTGCCTATCCCCACTGTCCCCACTGTCCCACTGACTCCTCCGCTGTCCCACTGAGCTGTCCCACTGTTTCCACCACTGTCCCCACTGTCCCCACCACTGTCCCCACTGTACCTCTGTCCCATTGTCCCACCGCCGTCCTCGCCACCGCCTTTACCAGTGTCCCCACCACCATTGTACCCTCCACTGTCCCAGTGTTTCCACCTCATTCCCACTGTCCCCACACCACTGTCCCCACCACCACCGTTCCCACCACTGTCCACTGTCCCCCCTGTTCCCACCATTGTCCCCACCACTGTCCCCACCACTACCGTCCCCACCACTGTCCCACTGTCCCCCCACTGTCCCCACCACTGTCCCGCTGTCCCCTCACCACTGTCCCCACCAACACCGTCCCCACCACTGTCCGCACCCCCACTCGGTTTTCGAGGGGGGGGGGGGGGGGTTCGAACCGGTAGTGACCCCCCCCCCCTTTTCATGATGAACTGGGGGGGGGGGGGAGGGGTTCGAACCGGTAGTGACCCCCCCCGGTTTTCCGGAGAGGGGGGGGGGGAGGGGTTCGAACCGGTAGTGACCCCCCCTGGTTTTCCGCCAGCAGCGGTAGAACACGCTCTTTCATAGATCACCCGTCAAACTCTGTCACGAGCTGACCGGCTGGGCGCGGAGCATCGCACCCACAAACTCGCAGAGCGTCAAGGAGCAGCTGGAGGCGGGAAAGGCGTCGCACAGAGGATACAGGTCAAAGGCGCCCTATTGGCCTAGTACAACCTCCTAGGTAGGATGGCGTTCTCTCTATGCTGTCACTTCCCCGCGTCGGGATAGTGTTCATTACGGAGTTTGCTGATCCGCTGTGGTAGTGTTCAGTCTGGCCCTCGACAGCTGCTTCTCCATTTTCTAAACCATCGGTTCCGGGTCTGGCGTTCTATCATAATTTCCAATACGACATATGTATACTAAGAAATCACTGGGCATAGCCTCTACGCGGCAATCCACTGCCATTTATGCTGGCATCGATCCACAATATACTGTCCAAGAAAAGTCTAGGATGTAAAATCTCGAGTTATTCCTCCACGGGATCAGGTATTGGCGTAAACTACGAAGACAAACACTCAAGCGTTTATCTTCCATCTTCCCCATCGTTGGCGCATTCAAATGTTTTTGCAAGTTTTTGCACTGTCACCCACAGATGCCTCATCGTCAAAATGTATTCTCAACCAGGAGGAAGCTAGTGCCTGGCATCTAGCATTCCACGAGCGTCAGCGATGGCAGCGCGGATGCGCACACCCGATTGTACACCCCAGAGACAAGCCAAAGTCTCCGCCTGGAGGGTAGATTCACACACGCGCCTGATGACCTTGCTCCACAGACAGATAGAGTGAACCTGATCACTGTCCCCCTCGACAAACCCGGGCCCAGCAAGATCGCTGAATCGAGCCTTCCTCTGGGTTCTGAGTGGCCCAAGCTGGCACTTGGCAATGTCGGTCTCTCCTGCCCAGTTGGCGCCAGTAACTGCAAGAACTATCATTTCCTTGTCCTCTTAGACTGCTCCTCCGTCGAACGCAGGTCTGCCTCAAGACTGCAATGCCTCTTCCAGAATACGATTCGCTTCTTTGAGATGGAGCACCTTTGCGTGGTTCACTACGTCATGTAGTCGACTCACGCGATAAACTAATTCAGGTTTGCATTGTCGGGTAGGTAACGCATGATAAAGCACCAGCGACTAACCGGAGTTGGGATACCTCTACTTCATTGAATTTCCCGTTGACGGCGCTATCTGTGGGATAGGGTTCAGCCTCAATCGTTTCAATGTTATCCCCCGCGCTGACGTGACCAGTGCAATCCGCATCGTGGAGAACTTCCAATCCTCAATAGCAGAAATCTCCAGATGTAACCTCTCCGATATCGAACTCCGCCAATACTTAATCAGCAGTGCGTTGGCCCTCGCTATCCGCGATATCATCTGCACGGGTTCTAACGTGCATGCGATTCAAACTTCCTCACTTGCGGTGCTGAAGAGGGCTAACATGATACGATTCTCTCTCAATCCATGCGCCTTGAAACGTTGACGAATCTTGCCCCGTGAATCTCCACCCGCGCCACGGGTTCCTTGAACGGGCATGCGGGCGATAAGGGCCCCGCCCTCGGGGGATCCTTGTAATCCGTCTGGCGGCAGCTTAAGCAACGCGGGGCGATCGAGCCCTTGCCCCTGGAAGCACGCAGAAGCAATGACGGCGCGTTTCAGAGTCTCGCTCGCTC